GCACTCAGATGCATAGCAAGTGATTGGAATGACTGTGGCTTGAATCAGACACACCTTAATCCTCACATTGACATCATTACTCCTCAACAATTTGAAGAGGTTCTTGACTGCTGAAACAAAAGGTGTTATTGGTGAACAAAAGGTGTAAGATGAAGTTGTTGATAGTTTCATTTTTTTCCCTCCATCTATCATGATAGTCAACACTCTCGGCACCAGTAGCCAGGAAATTAAAAGACATATGGCCATGGGAAAGTCTGCTGTTAGGGACCTCTCCAAAGTACTGAAGAGCAATGGTGTCTCTCTGGAGACTAAGGTGCGTCTGATACAGGCCATGGTCTTTGCTATCACTTGTTGTGCATCATAGAGTTGGACAATCACTAAGGAGGATAGAAGGAGAATTGATGCCTTTGAGCCTTGGTGCTGGAGAAGAGTATTGAGGGTACCATGGACTGCCAAGAAAACAAACAGATTCATCCTGGAAAGGGTTATATCAAGCTGTTCCTTGGAGGCAAGGATTCTGAGGCTCTGTCTAACATACTTTGGACATGTTGTAAGGAGGGACCAGTCCTTGGAGAGGGACATCATGCTTGGTAGGGTGGAGGGACAGTGCAGGAGGGGAAGGCCCTCTATGAGGTGGATTGATTCAGTGACTGGGGTAATCGGGATGGGTGTATCAGAGATTGTGTGATTGGCACAGGATAGAGCAGAGTTTAGGGCTGTTTTGCATAGGGTCACTATGAGTCGCAAGCACATAACAACACAACAACATCATGATATTGCGTGTAGATGTAGTGATAAGGTTCTTTTTTTCTTGACATTGAGATGCAATCCATATTGAAGGCTATATTCTTTGATCTTCTGCTACAAGTGCTTCAGGTCCTAACTTTTCAGCAAGCAAGGTTGTGTCATCTGCATTACGCAGGTTATTAATGAGTCTCCCTCTGATCCTGATGTCACATTCCTCATAACAGAGTCTGGCTTCTCAAGTAATTTGCTCAGCATACAAATTGAATAGGTATGGTGAAAGAATACATTCCTGACATACTCCCTTCTTCTGCATTTCTCAAACTGAGAGAACTGAAAAAACAGATTTAAGCCTTGAGTCACAAAATTGAAAGATGTTATGGGTAATATATTGAATTACCCAGAAAGCATCAAAAGAAGATGGAGGGAATATACAGTATCACTGTACAAAAAAGAACTGATACTGAAAAATTTCCAGAAATACTTAATATTTATGTAGAATGGGATCATTTTGATTGTTAAATATAAAAGATTATCAACACTATCACAATAATTTTATTTAAAATTTATTAGAAAGTTTTTATATAGTCAGAACAGTTTAGTTTTAGCATTTAGTTTCTGACTTTGGTTTCATGACTAAGGATTCTGAGGCTCCGTCTAACATACTTTGGACATGTTGTGACGAGAGACCGGTCCTTAGAGAGGGGCATCATGCTTGGGAGGGTGGAGGGACGGCGCAGGAGAGGAAAGCCCTCTATGAGGTGGATTGATTCAGTGACTGGGATAATTGGGATGGGAGTGTCAGAGACAGTGCGACTGGCACAGGACAGAGCGGAGTTTAGGGCTGTTGTACATAGGGTCGCTGTGAGTTGCAAGTGACTCGACGGCACATAACAACAACAGCAACAAAGCAAAATAATACTTGCTTCTATTTCCTAACATTATTTTCTGTTAACATCAAATTGTTTGCATGAAACAAGTTTTGAAACTGCCAATCATTTGCCAATTCAGCCCACAGTGTTTCCGATTTTAGAGTATGTTTTTCTACTTTGTTGAGAGAAAGGTCCCTCAAATGCTTTATATTTTGTATGTTGTTATGTGCCATCAAATCACCTGCTACTCATAACAACCCTGTGTATGATAGCTGTGAATCCTCATCTATCCAGAGCGAACTGTGTGTGACACACCTAATCTCACTGCCCCAATTATTGTGTCAATACATCTCATCCAGGGTCTTCTCCTGTGCTGTCCCTCCCCATTCTGAGCATGATGTCCCTCTCCAAGGACTAGTTCCTCCTGGTCACATGCCCAAAAAATATGTGAGGTGAAGCTTCGAAATCCTAGCCTCCAAGAAGAAACTTGTTTTCACTCTTTTTTCAATACCTATTTGTTCTCTTGGCAATCCATGGTATGTTTAATAATCTTATCCAGCACCACAACTCAAAGGCATCAGTTCTTCTGTCGTCCTTAGTCATTGTCCAGCTCTCTGTTGTGTAGCAAGTAATTGCCAAAACTATGGTTTGGATATTGTCCACCGTAGTCTCTAGACTGAAATAATTACTCCTCAGCACTCTGGAGAGGTTCCTGATAGCAAACTCCCCTAATGCAGTTTGTCTTTTGATTCCCTCATCACTGGTGCCAAGAGTGTTGATTGTGGAGCAGAGCAAGCTGAAATTGTAACATTAGTCTCTTCTCCATTTATCATGATGTTGCCAGTCGGCCCCGTGGTGAAAATCTTCTTGAGGTTATGCTTTAATCCATATTGAAAATCAAGGCTAAAATGGAACCAGAGTGCTTTATTTTTCTCCTGCAGAGTGACTGGTGGATTTGAATTATGCCAACATCTTTTTAGTACATGTATACAGACGGCTAACCTCTTTGTTAACAACTAATCATGTAATGCACTACAATTTAACATACCCATGTATATCTATCTACAAGTATGAAGAAGAAAATGGATGCCTTTGTACTGTTCTGCTTTAATGTAGTAATGTTCAGGATCCCTTCATGCCCATCTCTGATTAGATCTTCATCTTTTATTACCTTTACTTTGATTGAAAACTATCCCATTTGTGTCCGCTTTTGAATTTTAACTCAAGATTGCTTTGTGCTGTAAATTGATAATTGCAATGATTTCTAAGATTTCCTTTTTGCTTGATTACTATGCTTTCTATAGATGCAGATCCCAATATATTTTCTTTTTAAATATGTCATGTCTAACTAGATGATCATGCTGTTGATCAGTTTGCTAAATGGGCCAAACTAGAAGACACCATATACTTAGTGCGAAAGGAGCAGATGGGACATGGGGGTGGCAGTGTCTGATGTCTGCTCACTTCATAAAGAGGAAGTTTTCTCATCAGTAATACCCATAGCAGTGAACAGCAGATACACAGGCCCATGCTCCTGCACCTTTTTCCACCAGTCACTGGGTTCTGTATTCATTGTTGACTCACAGGCTTTACTCACTGTTATAGTATCAAGAATGGGGTTTATTAGGGAAGTAGGTTGGGGAGTGGGAGAGACAAAGAATGCCTTACAAATAAGTCTAAGCAGTCCCGACCCAGAATAACAGCAAAGCACAATTCCTGTCGTAAAAGTCCTGGTTTCAGTTCAGCAACACAAATTCAAGAAACCTCTGGCTTCCTCAATCATGGAGCAAGGTTTGCCTCAGAGCAGTTGTTAAATCAGCTTCTCCTTCAAGCATCTGGCAATAACAACAAAACCTTTAACTGTGGCCTTTATCTCAGTGCTCCTCTGGTTATACTTTGCCATGGTTTCTCCATAGCAATGCCACAGTCTGTCATCTACCATCCCCAGGGTCTACCCACCAGGATCTTGCTCTCACCAGGTTCTTGATCAAATCTTGCCCTCAGTGTGGGGCAAATCCTAGTCCCACAGCTGTTGGTGATTTGCAAGACCATGTGTCTGCATTTAAGGTAGCTGTAGACCACAGTGGGCTACAGTAATGGCGAAAAAGCTAACTTTAGGCTAACACTGCACTTGGGGGATCTGGTATGTAGTCCATGGAGAGTTGTACTGCTAACCCAAAGATGGCTCCTCTCTGGCTGTTTTAATCTATCAGCCAGCCACTCCCAGGGAGAAAGATGGGCAGTTTTCTCCTGTGTGTTTGAGAAGAGCATATAGGTTTTTATTGTCACCTACTATGGGTTTAGGCTCAGCAAAAATTGTGAAGATGACACAGAATCTGGCCTTGTTTTTTACTTTGGGTAGGTATCATTGGTGCCTGGATTTAAATATACTGTCTGTCAAGAGTTTTTTAAAAATAAGGCAGAAATACTGACCATTACAGTGATCAGTTATTTTATAGCTTGAGTCTAGGTACAGTTTATTGTAGTTGCCAAATCCGTTTTTGTGTTTTTTTTTTTCTGAGACAAATACTTTGATGTCTTCTGACCTATCTTCTGAGTGCCTCTTGGTGAATGTATTAAATTGTACAAAAAATATTTCCCATTAGAAACTTGAGTTGCTGAGTTTATATTAAAGCATGGACTGGTCACTGAAATGTCTGCAGGATGAGATAATCTCCTCCCTGGGAACCTTGATGGAGGCTTATGATGAGTTCTGATTGACTCAGAGGAAGTCAGTTTAGTATAAAAGTTCATGTTCTGTTCATTAATTGACTGGTATGTAAAGTCAGTGTATCATTGTATTTCATTTCTTGATGTTTTACACTGAATACCATTGTGAATCTGTATGTTAAATGTAATTGATTTTTTTGTAAGGAATTGGAGTCTCAGAATTTTACTTTTTGTTCAAAGGCTACACTGATTTACAGAAATTGATACAATGTGTATTTTCTTAAATATGTTGAATTAATTGCTTCTTAAAATAGTTTTCTGTGTTTTATTTAGAGTTCAGTTCCCCCAAAATTATAAAAGCAGGAAAACTGAAGACAAAGAAAGCCAATAAGGTATGTCTTTACTAGAAATATTTCTTAACTGTGTTGAATATTTTGTTGTTAGGAACTCCTTGTAAATTTGTATGGTTTTTTTTCCTGTTGTATCATTGTAGTTTTATAGCATACCTGAGAATTGTGGGTTTTATCCAAACTCATTTTTTGTTGTGTATACCTCATTTTAATTAATATATTTTGATAAATGTCTGTGGATTATTAAATATAGGTGTTTTCCAAAATTACTTTCACTTTTAGAAAATATTTTCTATTTATAATTTGGAAAACTGATTTATAAAACTTAACACTTTTTATTTCTTAGGCTAGTGATTTCAGCGACATGGCAAATTGGCCGACACCAAGTGAATTAGTGAACACTGGAGTAAGTATTCTTTTAAGACTTTTTTAAATAAAATGAAATTATTTTTCTTGATCATTTCATAATTTCAGTTTAGAAAATTGTATCATTGTGGCTAGATTAAAACGCAAGATTCATTTAGAAGATTACTTTTTAGGAATATATGATTAGGCATTATGTGTATGACAATAGTTCAGAGTAAGAGATGCATTGCAAAGTGGACTGGGAGGGGAAAGGGAGGATATTGTGCAACAGCGAATGAATTGTATTTTATTCATGTCTGTAAACTTCTGTAAAAAAATCACATTAAAAAAAATTAAATAGAAAAAAAGGAGTGTCAGATGACCTTGGACAGAGGAGCCAAGAAGTTGGTGGTGTGGTAGGCATTGGTGATAATCTTGAGAGTGTCATACTTCTTTTTTTTTTTTTTTTTTTTGGAGAGTGTCATACTCCTTATAGTTTATGCCCCTTACAGACATGGGAGCAGAGATGATTATCCATTAGGCACCACCCTTCAAGTGAGCCTCAGTCTTCTCCAAGGTTGTGAAGATACCAGTGTACTCCACAACATACGCAGCACCAGCATTACCCCACTTGATGTTGGTGGAATCTTGCTCCAGGGAAATAGTGATGGCTTTTCCATTAACAACATGCTTCCCATTCTCAGCCTTGACCATGCCATTGAACTTGCTATGAGTGGAATCATTCCAGATCATATAAAGTGTGTAGTTGAGATCAGTGAAGGGGTCACTAATGACAGCAACATCCACTTTGCCAGAGTTAAAAGCAACTCTGGTAACAATGTGTCCATTGCAGCCAAATCCATTTACTATGACCTTCATTATTGTAAAGAGAAGGCTATCTTTTGATAGATGAGGGGCAGAAAGCTTGTTTACTAATTTTTATTCCTCTCTCCTTTCTTGTCCCTGTAAGCTGTTCAACAATGAGTCTTTGTACATACTTTTTCTTAACTTTTTTTAGTTATGATCTTATAATATTTGCCCTTTCATATAGCCTTAATTTGACTCCATACTTTCTTCTAAATACACCCAAGTTATTCAGTGTTTCTCAGATTCTGTTTTTCTTTAGTGTTGTGTGGTAGTTCACTGTGTGAATGTTTAGATATCTCTTGGTCTGCTGATGGACACATGGATCGTTCTTTATCACTTTTCCATTATAAATATTGCTGCAATAAACATGGGTTTGAATGCACCCATTATTTCTTTAGGGTATATACCTAGTCATGGGATTGTGGATCAAATGTTATTTCTACTCCCAAAGTTCTAAGGAAGTACCAAAGGGCTTTCCTTAGTTGTTGTATCATTTTATAGTTCCACTATGACAGTTCCAGTGTGTCCACACACTCTTCAGCATTTGTTGTTTGCTGTCTTATTGAACTTGGCTGTTGTTTGAGTGAAATGCTATTTTATGGTTGATTTGATTCACATCTCTTTTAAATGGTATGTGCAGAGAGCTAGCATAAAAAGGGAAGAATTCACTAGGCATTTCTCAAGCTGAACAAACTGAAATATAAATTCAAGTTTCAAGTTGCAATACTGAAAAATACTATGTGAAAAATATTGAATGATCCAAAAAGCTTCAAAAGATGATGGGAAGAATACACAGAATCAATGTACTAAAAAGAACTGGCCAACAATGAAATATTTCAGGAAGTCTCATATGATCAAGAGCCAATAGAAATGAAGGAAGACATTCAGGCTGCACTGAAGGCATTGGCAAAAAATAAGGCCCTGGGGAATTATGGGATACAAATTAACATGTTTCAACCAACTGATTCAGCCCTGGATGTGCTCAGTAGTCCATGCCATGGAATTTGGACATCTTATTTAGCTGACTTGACTGGAAGAGATCCATATTTTTTTCCCATTCCCAAGAAAGATGATTCAACAGAATGTGGAAACTATCGAACACTACGTTAATAACCTAGTTGTAAGCATAATATGTTTATTAAATTGTTTGCAGTATAAATGACATACAATAAAATATACACACACATATATAACATATCTAATATATATATGTATAGATGATTTCTACCAACTTTGACGGTCGGAGATCGATCAAACATGCAGTCAAGATGCATTGATAATAATGGGTGACTGGAATGCAAAAGTTGGGAACAGAGAAGAAGAATCAGTAGTTGGAAAACATGGGCTTGGTGACAGAAATGAAGCTGGAGATAGAATGATTGAATTTTGTACAATCAATGACTTATTCATTGCAAATACATTTTATAAGAAACAAAAACGCAGGTTATACACATGGATTTCACCTGATGTTATGCATAGGAATCACATTTATTACATCTGCAGAAAAAAACCACTGGAGAAGCTCAATATCAGCTGTGAAAACTAGGCCAAGGGCTGATTGTGGAACAGACCACCAACTACTCATATGCAAGTTCAAGCTGAAGCTGAGGAAAATTAAACTGAATCCACAGGAGCCAAAATATGACTTTGATTTCATCCCACCTGAATTTCAGCATCATCTCAGGAACAGGTTTGAGGCCTTGAACACTACTGAGCGAAGACCAGATGAGTTGTGGGAGGATGTCAAATGTATCATCCAGGAAGAGAGCATACGGTCATTACAAAGACA